CCCCCCCCCCCCCCCCCCAGCCATCAGAACTGACAGAGCTCCGGCTGGAGCTGACGGGAGCAGCTCTGCATCTGATAGAGATGCAGACCATGTAGCTGCTCCAGGAAGTCGGGCACAGGGTCCGTGACCGTGTGCCCGACTTGTCAGCTGGCTGCGGACCAGCTGGCTGCGGACCACATAGTACCGGCTCGCGGGCCGCAGTTGGGCCTGTACTTTGAGGCCCCTGCTCTAGTATCATTACTTTAGCACATATATAGGTCCCAAAGTCCTTGTGGTCATTGAATTTTAGATGTAATATTTGGTAACCTAATTCCATAGACATGAAATGGCTGCATCTGATACAATCTATGATCTTTTGTAGTGTACCAAGACAAGCATGCACTGTAATCTCTGGTCCTGACTGTGAGAATCCACAGCAAACTGTCTGCAGCCCAGTGGAACCCTCTTCTGACTGTCAGCTGGTCTTGCGCCAGGTCTTCAATGAAACTGGTGTCTTCTGCGTTAATGTGTCATTAACTGATGACGTCAGCTTGGCTGTTGCCAGCACTCAAGTTAGCGTGTCAGCAGGTAGGTAGCAGAATGAGCTTTATGTGGTAAAATGCTATAAAGTCTATAATAGTCCTCAGGTCTGTCTGTCTCCAGGGTCTTTAAAAAAAAAGGCAAAAACACACTTAATCTTTAACCCATGTTGTACTCTGACAACACTTTTCTAGCGCTGAAGCTATCTTGTTACTAGGGGCCTAACTTGTGAGCAAGCACTGGTGACGGCCATTAACTGGCTCAGAGAAAATGCCCTTATAGTGCATGTAGACTTGCACATAACCAGAGAGCCTAACATTGCCAGGACTAATACTGCCCAGTGTGATTGTTCTCCTGTACTGAACAGAAACTCTTAAGTCTTTCTCTGGCCTCATTTTGCATTACTGTCCTAGAGCCACAAGATGGGCTGTGAAAAGCTTTACTGTACAGGTCAGACATTACAGCAGTGGCAAGCTGTCTGCCATTGATCACTTCCTGGTGGCTCTCTAAATTACATTACTGCTAGTTGAGCCACTAGACATGCCTAATTTCATTTAGAGGCTGTTGGTTCCCCAGTCTGTTCCAAAGACTAGCCACATGGGTCAGCTTAATGTCCTTTCACCATACAGAATTCTTGCTTTACCCAGGTGGCATAGACTCTACCACAACTACTAATTGCATAGGCACGGATCCCTAATTGGCCCTTTTTGTAGTCTCTGCAGAATCGTACATGGCCTGCTTTCATTCAGTGAGATGATCTCTTGGCTAATGAACCCAAAGCTGCACTTTGTTCTCCAACAAAGGAGTACAAGGATGTATTGCCTGAAATGGAACAGTCTGAGGTTAACCTGTATCCCACTGTTTTCTCTTCCAAAGGTGCAGCATCTTCAGTGAATGGAATGGCTGTTACAGTCGGCATTCTCCTGGCTGCACTTGCAGTAGCTGCAGTAGCTTACACCTACAGGTATGTATTTGGATCATATCCAGCTTGTGCAAATGGGTTGCATGAATAAAGTGCAGGTTACATTTGTATACAGTGCAAAAATGTTGGTAGGGTTCTATAACAATTCTTGGATTGGCTATTACGTTGCTTAATCGGTGTATTAGAAAACTACTCCAATTTCCATACTGCATAATTGTATTTTCCCTTTCCCAACTTAGGCATGCAAAGTCATACACCCCACTCAAAAGTAACCATGCAGCTGTCAACTGGTTTCCTGATCGTTCAGCTCTTTGGCTCTTCATTCAAAATGCCCTTGGACGCTCTGCAAGTGGGGAGAATAGCCCCCTTCTAAATGGCCGGGTAGTATGAGGCAAAGGACAAGCATGGAAGAGAATGAGTTGGAACCTTTGCGATATTTGTCTTGTACAAAGAAGGGGACAAGCCATTAACTTTAAATGCTGGATATCACGCAATTGACCTGTTCACCTAGAAAAATAATAAAACTCATTCACTGCTATTAAGGTCTGACTGAAGGTACACAGGGTGGTTTGTCTTCTCCTTTTGGAGGAGTTGATTGTCACAACCTTCAACCTATGGCTAAATTTGGCCACCAATAAATTCCCTTAAACCATATTTGGTGCAATGTTTCAGTTTTTTTTATATAGTGAACTGGTTATGATGGACAGTAGACCAGTCTGTGATTGCATTCATGATCTGCAAACTTTGAATATGGAAAATGGCACTTGGGGACACAACGGGCAGACATTTCAAGTGTAGATATCCTGTACCTAAGGCATATGCCATATGTTCATTACTGCGATTGGGGTGGTTTTTAAAAATGGATTCACTTTCAAATTGCTAAAGGCTTTGGCCTCATTCACACACAACGCAAGCAAACTTGTATATTGCGTCTACTATTTGCAATCCCTGAATGCATCACTCGTAAAGGTGCCCTTACACTGCACGATTCTCGTACAAGAATCATGCAGTGTGAATGAAGGCGTGCGACCGTTTCTACTGTACGGTCGCACGTCTTTTGTCTAAGGAGCATGCTGGAAAACTAGCCGAAAAGCTTACGGTTTTCGGCTGGTTTGAATGATGCTCGAGACAAATGCCGGTGTGCGCACACTACCCATTCAGCATTGCAGTCATCAGAAGCCCGCCTTTGCAAGACTAAGGTCTTGCGATGGTTGTAAGGTGTAGGGCCACCTTTTATGGAATTTTTAATGTGCTGTATGCTTGTAAAATATGCTGCCCGGACGCATCTTTGTTCCATTCTGTTTTTGCGCATATATACGCTATGCAAATACAGCTCTTTACATGGCTGTGTATAGAGCCATTGATTTGCATATGGTACAATACACACGTACGTGTGGCAGTGTGAATGAGGCCTTTGCTGCATGGCTCACCTTATTTTACCACCATTGTATCTTAATTTTGTGCACAAGCTTTTACACAAATATCACATGGGTTAAAGTTGGTTCACAATGTGCCCATTAAAGGCCACATTTATCTAAATCTACCATTTGTAATACTCAACAGTGGGATCTTCCACCAATAAATCAAACTTCCATCCAACAGGGAGATGTGAGTTTCTGCTCACTCTTGCGTGGTTCAGTTCTATTCCATCATATAAAATACAGCCGGAAAAATGAGAGCCCTGCATAACGGTCACGGTAGATGTGCACAGCCTGGAACTCAACTGCAGAGCTGTTACAAAAACTGGCCATACACTTATAGATTTTATTGGGCCTATGGCGAGATGGAAAAAGTGCAACATATTCCTCCAATAAGGCTAAACTGTGTGGATGGAGGAGCCACCCACTGAGCCAAGGTTCCGTATCTTGCTAGTCAGCCCCGCTGGCTCTCAAAACACCTGAACAATGCCTGCAACCAATCATATTGTTCAGGTATTCTGACAGCCAACGGGGCCGATTAGTAAGATACTGAAGCTTGGCCCAGCGGGAGATTGCTCCATTCACACAGTTTAGCGTAGATGGAGGAATCTGTTGCACTTTTTCCATCTGACCATAAAAAATCTAGTGTATAGCCAGCTTTAGGGTTTCTTTTGTTGGCATCAGTTTGAGATGCCTGAGAGATTCAGAATTTTGACAAGTATTTGACTTGCAGTTGGCTTTCAAGCAGACTTCATTCCCATAGGTCTAGGGCAGGGGGCGCCCACAATTTTTCATTCGGAGATCTAATTTTCAAATGACAAGCTCAATGAGATCTACCAACGAAAAACACCTGCATTTGGGGGGGTGGGGGATGCATGGCAGTGAAGTCAATGGCACTGCAAGCACATTAGTGCCTGCGTTCCAGTCCAATCTGCAAAATGCTGCAAGCACTATTTTTTGCAGATTGCACTGGACTGGAAGGCAGGCAATCGCACTGTGGGGGGCATGGCTGTGGTGCTGTTGACTTCAATACAACCCCCACACCCCCTCCTGCCCCTGAACGCAGGAAGTTGGCCAGCTTACATTCCAGTGTGTTCTAGAGGCGCCGGCGTCCTGTCCTCCCCTTGATGCTTGTGTGGCCGACATTGCCCACAGGGAGAGGTGTCCTGCCCCCTTTCTATCTGCGGTGTTTAACACATTCAGCCGGCAGCATAACCGTAGCCAGCTCCTTTTGTGTCTG